GGTTACGTACCTCGTCCTCCGTCCTTACTTTGTATTTAGGGTTACGGTTACGTATAATTTAGTTAGGTCGACATAGTAGTACGTTCGTTGTATATATATATATATATATATATATATATATACTTTGAGATTGGTTATTAGGTTTTTAGAGGTTACATCTTTAAAATTTGAGGTCCAACAAATATTTCCAACATGAATTTTACTCGCGAGTAAATGCACAATATGCTTCTGAGGGAGCAACTCTTTTCACTTTTCTTTAATACTGAATTCCAGTTTGAGAGAATCTTACTAAGACTCTAGTATAAGCATTGTGTTCTCCATATTATATGAAGGGCGTTGTTTCTATAAGGCTGCAACCTAAACAATCCAATAAAGGTGTATTTCCAACTTTTATCATAATATGTAATTTTGGTGTAAAAACTTCTTAAGATTATCTGAAAATCTATTTCCTATCTAATTATAAAATTTTAAATTTTAAAAATGGTTAAAATCAAGTAGATCCATAAACCTACAAAAATCTTGAAAATGGACGGTCTAGATAATGTGTTGCAAGATGCACTATATTTGGGACTTAATTTTTTTTTTTTATATTCATACATCTCAATGTCAAGATGATCAATTAGAGGGATTTTCAACATTAAAACAACCGTTTTCGATGGATTTTTGAGGTGCATTTTAATTCTACATTACCTTATATAAACTTTTTCCTTATCAACTAAAGTAGATTGCTGTAAGGAAAATAACGGCATTGTAGCAGTTGTTAATCTATGAGTGTTAAATATTCGAACTAAGTGTTGTGTTACTCGTCATCATCAACATTACCCCTAAAAAATTTATGGGCCTTATGAACTGAAATCAAAATACATACAATGCTTGAGTAATAATGCCACCAGGCATCCATCTCCATGAAATGGCCTTTTCTGGTTAATGTGACCTAACCATTTACTTGATGCTTTTTTCAGATGAGAATTGCATCTTCCTATTGACTTTGATCCCAATTAACTCTTCACTCTCCATTATCACAAGGAAAATCCAAGGGATGATAATGGGGGGCTACAAACGCCATGGAAGTTAAGTTGCTCAACTTTTCATTCATGTATTTTTTCTTTCTCGATCTATGTAACGAACATGAAGGGGAAGCTTTTAAGCATCAATGAGTCGTACAAACAATCTCACAGAAAAAGCTTTATTTCTCTGAGGCGGCTCTCATATTGGAAAGGAGAAACCAAGTGGTTAAAGGGTTTCCATTTGCCTTGCCTCTCAATCCGGGACACATTTTTGTTCTCATTGGCGAACCGGACTTTCTGTCGAAAAAGAGTACACTCAGGGACAGATCTTCCCGTGGTTGAGTAATACTGGAAATGTCTCCTTCTCATAACCCACATTGGAGCTAGATAGCAAGTTGAGGGAGGCCCTCATTTTTTTAAAACGGGTAGGAACCATGTAGGGAGGATGTAGTCGGTGTAGATGATGGATGGGAATTTCCTCTATGATTTGATCTCTTCAAAAGATCTTTGAGTTAGGGTTTCTTTGAATTGCCGCTGAGATGACATGCAAAATTTGACTATAACAGTCTTTCAAAATACAAAAGGTGTTTACATGGGATTCTGAGACTGACCAGATTAATCAAAGTTCGATATATTTGACACAGTGTCCAAACTCAAAAATTTAAAAGTTAGAAGAGGTGGGTTACGTGATATTCATATTTATGAAGAAATCAATCTTAAATAGACCTATTCCTCACAAATATGCGGCGAAGCCGACTTAGATTGTGTAAAATCCGAAACAAATATAGAAAATAAATGAAAATAGCAGTAATAAACAAACTAAGAAAACAAAGACAAATGACAATAAAACAAAGGAAAATAGCAAAGGAAAATAACAAAGGAAAATAAAGTGGAAAAATAAAGAAAGAACTTGGAAGCTACGCCCTCATGCTCAGAGTTGGGCCCAAATTAGAAGGTGAAGATTAAGTCCTTACTCATTGATTTTGTGATTAATGATCCGTATCAATGAATATACTCCAGGGAAGAGGTATGCCTTGGAGTTTACTTCAAGAGCTTTGAATTGATTGAAAAGGGTTGTTTTTAATATCTAAAGTTGGCTAGAGTGGGCGGCCCTCGGTCTCATACGCCTCACGATGGGCGGGGACCCTTTCTTAAAACCACGGCGCTTTCTCTTAGGAAGAGAGAAGAGAAGTGTGTGTCGTGCCCCCCCCCCCAGGCTTTGTGTGTGCGTGTGCACACGAGTGTGTCCCCCATGATCGCTAGGATAAGGGTTGGGCGGTACGGTATGTGCGATTTGAACCAACAGAGAAATAATCGAGGTAAGGGTTATGTCGTGATATTAGGGTCGGATGCACCTGGGCATGTGCGCCCTCTTAGATCTCGGCATCTTAAGGCGCCGACGGAAAGCCCCCTGCCTTTCGACAAGGTTTGAGACCAACTCTTTCACGACTCTTTACTCGGTTTGCATGCATTTGTGTGGTTCGGATCCAAGATCCACAATTCATCTATTAGGCTTTGAGATGTGCTTGGTTGAGAGAGTTAGGATGGGATAGGGGTGAGTCAAGCTTTGATGGGTGAAGGTGAAGGGATGACTGCTCAATAAAATCCGCTAGCATTCCGGTGTCATCTCCTCTAGGAGGTAATGCTAGAAACGAGATAAAGGCGCTAAGGATTAAGCCTAGATACCTCAGAGACTTGTTAAGATATGTAATCCTCTCTGGGATCGAACCCGGGCTAAACTTCAAGTGCAAGTTTTCTTAAGGAGTGGGGGTTAAGTGAAGGATGGGGTGAGAAAAGGAAGTGAAAGAGAAAGACAGAGGGTGAGAGAAAAAGAGAGAGTAAGGGAGAAAGAAAGAAAGATAACCCCGAGAAACTTGTCAAGATATGTGATTCACGCTGGGATCAAGCCCTAGCTTAACCTTAAGCGTAAGTCTCCTTAAGGAGAAAGAGGGGAAAAGAGAGAGAAGATGAGAAAGAGAGAGAAGGACAGAGAGCTTTAAAAAATTTGTCAAGAGATATGATCTGCTCTGGCATCAAGCCTGGGCTTAACCTCGAACGTAAGTCTCCATAGCGAGAAGGAGAGGGAAAAGAGATAAAGAGAGAGAATAAGAAAGAGGAGAGGACATAAGAATGAAGAAGGGAGAGTGAGAGAGGAAAAGAGGAGAAGAGAGGTAGAGCTAGAAAAATAGAGTGAGGAGGAGGAGGTGGCTTGGCTGCTGGTCTGGAGGAGAGGAGAGGAAGAGAGTGGCTTGGCTGTCAATCTGGAGAGAGAAAGCGAGAGAGAGAGAGAGAGATGGAGAGACAGGTTGGTTGGGAGACTGGCACCTAGGTTGGAGAGACCGGTGGCTTGGGAGACCGGCACCAAGGTTGGAGAGACAGATGGCTTGGGAGATCGGCACCTTAAGAGGAATATGGATTAGATGTAGGGTGTATTGTGTATGAACTAGGGAGTAGGGAGTAGGGAGTAGGGAGTAGGGTGTAGGGTGTAGGGTGTTGGGTGTAGGGTGTAGGGTGTAGAGTGTAAGGTGTATGGTGTATGGTGTATGGACTAAAGAGTAGAGTGTAGGGTGTAGAGGGTATGAACTAGAGAATAGCTTGTGGGGTATAGGGTGTATGGACTAGGGAGGGTGAGGGATAGGGTGTTCCTCTCAAAGGTAAAAGTTTTCTTTCTTTTGGTTAGCTCAAGCACAATTTCAATTCATTTCAAGCCAAATTTGCCAACTTTTTACAAATGATAGCCCACACAGCCTTGCAACGCTTGTTTCTCATTGACCACAAGGCGGATCGAGCCCAAATTTTGATACGTTGTTCTCCTCAATGAGAGAAAACTTTTGACATATTCCATAGGAAAAACCAACAACTAAGCAGAGAGAAATTCTAAAGAGAAAGTAACACAAAAAGGCATTATGCAGAAAATATGTGTGCATGATGTCCTATCACACCAACGATCATAACTCAAAGCCCTGATGTCGGATAGACCCAAAAATAGAGGCATCGTGATCGTAACTCAAAGAGCTTCGATTAAAGGTATAATACATAATGACGGAGTATCACAACCCTGTCCCCTGACCCCTACAGTACTCTACCGGAGGGTGACAGAGTGCAGGATCGCAACTGGAGGTCACGAATATCACTCAGGTGGGACTGGGTCAATGCGTGTTAAAAGTGCGGAGTCAAAGCAAAGCACGAAAAAGTAAATAAAACTCAAACATCAAGCACTACAAACTAAATAAATTAAAACCA